CTTTAATATTGCCTCTTTGAACAATGTGATTTTATTAACATGATTATTGTCGTATTTTAGCCTGGTAACTTCTATCCTGATTATTTTTAAGAGCTTATCAATACTTCAGACATTGTGAAAATACAGTAAATCCTAACTTAACAGCATTGATAGGTTCTTCAACTTTGTGCAAAATGGCATAATGAAACCTGTTTTACATAGGCTAATTGATATAAACAAAAGTTAAGTTTCTTATCAACATTATAACAAAATGCCAATGGATGAAATGATGTTATTCAAGGACCTGCTGATCTAGAATGCCTGCCAGTTAATTCATACCACTCGTCATTCTTCCTAAAACATCTAAAGTTAGGCATTTGTTCACCAAATGTTGAGTACTCACTATGTATAGGACACTTAGGAATAAAAAGTAAGTTTGTATTGCCTTTTTCTAGCAACTTACATTCTAGCTTGGGAGAAAGGGATATGCACAAGTATCATAGATTGTGGTTGTGTACTTAGATATAATAAACGTCTCTGTTTTCCAAACTAGCCTCCGCTTTCCAAGCTGCCTTCTATACTCTGGCCTTTCTTTGTTGACATGCTTCTCTTTTTCTCAGGTTAGTTCCCCAGAGACCGAGGAATTAAAACATCCTGCAGTTGCATTGGACTAACTATTTTATAGTTATATTTTATGCACGTGAATCTGGAGTAGCATCAAAGTATGGGATGGCCAAAGTATGATGGAAGGCAGTACTTCTTGTGAGTCAGAAATTAGAAGCTGGGGGTTAAAGGAAAAAAGATTCGTGTTCAGTATATGAAGCCTCTTTTAAAGCTCTAGGAGTGAATTTGACTACAAGGAGGGAAGAAGAAAGTGGAAAGAATCTTTGGAAATAACTATATTCATGTAACAGTTGGAAGAGCAGCAGGAAGTGAAGTATGAGCAGTAGAAGTGTGGGTTGAGGAGCTGATCCTGGCAGTGATGATACTGGGAATGCCAGCAGGTGGGGGCGCTAGAAAGGATCCTGGGTGGTTTTTGGTAACTTTATTTTTATAAAGAACAGTTTAGTTGCAGCTACATATTACCATCATTATTGCTATTGCCTTTTTTTATTATATTGATAATGCTGTTAACAGTTTGTCCTGATTTTCCCCCCAACCCTCTTCCACCCAGCACCCTACACTCCCTCAGGCAGTCCCCCCACCATTGTTCATGTCCATGGGTCATGCGTATAAGTTCTTTGGCTTCTCCATTTCCTATACCATACTTTACATCCCCACCGCTATTCTATAACTACCTGTTTGTACTTCCTGATCCCCTCACCTCTTCACCCATTCCCCCATATGCCCCTCCATCTGGCAACCATCAAAACACTCTTTGTATCCATGATTCTGTCTCTTATTGTTTGCTTAGTTTGCTTTTTAGATTCAGTTGTTGATATGTGTTTTTGCATAATATTGCTCCTAGTTTCGATCTTCTTTTTCTTAAATAAGTCCCTTTTAACATTTCATATAATGGTTAGGTGATGGTGAACTCCTTTAGTTTTTTTCTTGTCTGGAAAGCTCTTTATCTGCCCTTTGATTCTAAATGATAGCTTTTCTGGGTAGAGCAATCTTGGCTGCTTTTTATGACTTTGAATATTTCTTGCCAATCCCTTCTAGCCTGCAAAGTTTCTTTGGCTAAATCAGCTGACAGTCTTATGGGAACTCCCCTGTTCTTATGGGAATGTCTCCCACATTCCCCCCCTTTAGTTTATGTCCATGCGTTGTATATATAAGTTCTTTGGCTTCTACATTTCCTATACTATGCTTACCCTCCCTCTGTCTATTTTCTACCTACCATCTATGCTACTTATTCTCTGTACCTTTTCCCCCTCTCTCCTCCTCCCACTCTCCTGTTGATAACCCTCCATGTGATTTCCATTTCTGTTCCTGTTCTAGTTGTTTGCTTAGTTTGCTTTTGTTTTTGTTTTAGGTGTGGTTGTTAATAATTGAGTTTGCTGTCATTTTACTGTACATGTTTTTTATTTTCTTTTTCTTAGGTAAGTCCCTTTAACATTTCATATAATAAGGGCTTGGTGATGATGAACTCCTTTAACTTGACCTTATCTGAGAAGCACTTTATCTGGCCTTTCATGACTTGGAATACTTCTTTCCAGCCCCTTCTTGCCTGTAAGGTCTCTTGAGAAATCAGCTGACAGTCTGATGGGAACTCCTTTGTAGATAACTGTCTCCTTATCTCTTGCTGCTTCTAGGATTTTCTCCTTCATTTTAATCTTGGCTAATGTAATTATGTGCCTTCATGTGTTCTTCCTTGGGTCCAACTTCTTTGGGACTCTCTGATCTTCCTGGAAGTCTATTTCCTTTGCCAGATTGGGGAAGTTCTCCTTTATTATTTGTTCAAATAAGTTCTCCACTTGTTGCTCTTCCTCTTCTCCTTCTGGTACCCCTATAATTCAGATGCTGGAATGTTTAAAGATGTCCTGGAGGTTCCTAAGCCTCTCCTCCTTTTTTTTTTGAGTTCTTGTTTCTTCATTCTTTTCTGGTTGGATGTTTTTTTCTTCCTTATGGTCCACATTGTTGATTTGAGTCCCAGTTTCCTTCCCATCACTATTGGTTCCCTGTACATTTTCCTTTATTTCACTTAGCGCAGCCTTCATTTTTTTCATCTAATTTGTGACCAGATTCAACCAGTTTTGTGAGCATCCTGATTACCAGTGTTTTGAACTGTGTATCTGATAGATTGGCAACCTCTCTGTCACTTAGTTTTATTTGTTCTGGAGCTCTGCTCTGTTCTTTCATTTGGGCCTTTTTTTTTTCCCCCCTGTTTCGGTGTGCCTGTTACATAGTGAGGGGTAGAGCGTGGTGTTCACGCTCGGGTGTTCACCAGGGCAGGGCAACCCAGTGGCTGGGTTGTGACGCTGTGGGGGGTGGTCCGAGAGAGAACAGTGGTGCTTGCTCCGCTCTGTGCTGTATTTTCAGTCACTTCCCCTGCTATTCTCAGGCAAAGTGGACCCTTGTGGTGCTGATTCCTGAGTGGGTGCACTTGTATACGTTCTAGGACCCCATGGGATTCTCCTGTGAGGTTGGGAGTTTCTCCTGGTACCTCAACCCCCACAGGTGTTTTCAATCAGTGATTTGAGGCTTTATTTCCCCACGCTGGAGCCCTGCGTTGCAGTTGGTCAGCTCCCCAGTTTCTCCTGGTTATCAGCATTCGAATGTGGGACCACCCAGTCTGCAAGCTGCTGCCTGGGCAAGTCCACTCACTACTGCCTTGCCCGAAGTCCTCTCTGCCCAGCTGTCTGGCTGCCGGTCTCCACCCCTTCTACTGGTCTGGATGAAAGTGTTTTCTTTAACTCCTTGGTTGTCAGAATTCCATAAAGTTTGATTTTCTGTTTGTTCTGGTTGTTTTTTTGTTTTTAAATTGCTGTTCTTCTTTTGGTTGTGCGAAGAGGCAGAGTGTGTCTACCTGCACTTCCATCTTGGTCGGAAGTCTCTGTATCCTTCATTTCTGACTGGATCTTATTTATGCTGCCGAGGTCCTCACTAAGTTCCTTGAGCATCCTTGAAACCAGTGATTTGAACTCTGCATCTAATAGATTGTTTCCATTTCGTTTAGCTCTTTTTCTGGAGTTTTGATCTGTCCTTTCGATTGGGCCATGTTTCTGTGTCCCCTCATTTGGCAGCCTCCCTGTGTTTTTATGTATTAGGTAGAGATGCTTTGACTGTGTCTTGGTAGTGTGGCCTAATGTAATAGGTGTCCTATAGGGTCCAGTGGCACAGCCTCCCCTATCATCCAAGCTGGGTACTCGAGGTGCCACCTTTTTAACTAAGTACACCCTCCTCTTATAGTCAAGCTTTGGTTGCTGTTGGCAGATGAATGGGAGGGATTTAGTCAGGCCAGTCTACTGCAATGATTGGGTGTGGCCAAATACCACCAACCTCTGCCCTCAGTGGAAGATCAGCTATGCAGGGGCAAGGTGGTGGTGCTCTGACATGGTTTGTAGCTGTCCACTGGGTACACTGGCTCTGGGGTTTCCCAGGTGGTGCAGACCAAGATCAGCCCCCACCTGTGTTTTGCCCAGGGCATCCTGCCTAAAGCAATCTGAAATGACTGCTGCTTGTGCTGGGCTTGGAGATTCCCAGGCAAAGCCAAGCTGTGAACCTAGGTTGGCTGCTGCCACTGGTGCGGCTCACTGAGGCCAGCTGTTGCTTGTTTGATATCATTGAGGAAGTTGTGAAGCATGAGCCATGACCAACCATTCATATGGAAAAGCAGCTTGGGTGGGCCCTAAATTGGGTACGGCAGAGTCTCATCTCAGAGGATCTGGAGGATCTCCAAGGCGTGTCTGTATTAGCTACATTGACAGTCTCAGATAGGGCACCAATTTGCTGGCTCTGTGGGGGATGGTTAAGAAAAGTGACAGTGGCCTCTGCTTGCCTTGATGCCAGACACTTTGGTCCCTCCCTGTATACCACTGGTGCCTTTCAAGCTGCTACCCCTGTGTTGGAGCTCAGAGGAAGTGAGTTTGGGTGAGTCTGAGTGTGGATTCTTTAAGGGAACTGCTTGGGGCTCCAGCAGTTTCTTCCACCAACTTAATCTCTTCTGGCTCTCGTAGCCAGAAGTTGTGTGGACTGATCCTCCTGACACTGGAATTTCGGCTGGGGGTCTTGTGTGGGTCTGGGACTCCTCACTCCTGAGATAGCGCTTGCATGTTTTTATTGACCACCCGTGTGTGGGACCAGCCAGTTCCTGTCTGTGCCCCTCCTACCAGTTTGTACGGATGTGGTTTCTTTAATTCTGTAGTTGCCAGACTTCCACTCAACTTAGTTTCTGATGGTTCTGAACGATGATTGATGTATATTTTAGTTGTAATTTTGATTTGGTTGTGCAAAGAGGCAACCATGTCTGCCTATGCTGCCATCTTGACTAGATGTCTTGTGTTTTTTATTCTTATGATGTTTTGATATTAAATTGGTAGAATCTCTAAGACATACATTTTTGTTTTTTCTTCCCTTAGATATGTGATTTTGGCTTGGCCCGTGTTGCAGATCCAGACCATGATCACACAGGGTTCCTGACGGAGTATGTAGCCACCCGTTGGTACAGGGCTCCGGAAATTATGTTGAATTCCAAGGTAAGGAGCAAGTTTACATAAAAAGAAAATGAGAAAGCAAAAGACCCTCAGACATGTGTCACAGTTGGCTTCCCTGTCAGTAAGCCTGCTTCTACCTGGGTGTAGTATGGCCCGTTTGGCCAGAACCAAGGTGCTGTCATAATTTCCTGTTCAGCTTTGAGCTCTGGGCCCTGGGTTTTGGCCTCTGCATCTCCGCTGGAGTAGTGCTAACATGTTACAGCATTGGAGGGCATATCTCTTTCTCTCTGGTCACAGTTACAATAAATGGTCTTTGTCCTTGGCCACCTCTGCTGAGGTTTTACCTGTGGCAGCTTTTACACCTGCTGCTGCCACTGCTGGGTGCAGGCCGAGTTGGTGTTAACCTGTAACAGAGGTTATCCAATAATGCGTCTTCCTGTGAACATGGACTGGGGCTCTTCCGTAAAAGTCAGATTTATATGATGATAAGAATGTCTCCAGCAAAATTATAATTTGGAGACAATGTAGGTATGGAAAGAATAGAAATGCTATGGATTGTTCCAAAATTATATGATAATCTTCCATATGACGTGTTCATCTGATCAGCACATGGCAGTGAAGAGTGCATCTAGTTTGCAAACTCTTTCAGTGAGGTTTGAGTCTTAGTCAGATGAAATAATTGAATAAATATATAAGAGCAAGAAAAGGTGAAGTGTGATATCTTTGTTATGCTTATGAAATAAGTGGCAGGTATTAAGGGCTTCTCTGGAGATTGAGGTTCAGTATTTTTAATATATAATTTGCAAATAGTATATGAATAAGGTGTCAAACTTGGAAACTTAAGTAGGCCTGGCATATTTCCTGTATCTAATATCTCAAAATTATGAGATTCTTGGACTTAATTTTATTTACCATAATGTAACATTAAGAAACAAGAAAAGCATGGACAACATTGTGGTGATTGCTTGGGGAAGGGAGTATAAGGGAGCTAAATGGTAATGGGAAAAAAGATAATAAAGGTTATATTTTGCCCTGGCTGGCGTAGCTCAGTGGATTGAGCGTGGGCTGGGAACCAAAGTGTCCCAGGTTTGATTCCCAGCCAGGGTACATTCCTGGGTTGCAGGCCATAACCCCCAGCAACTGCACATTGATGTTTCTCTCTCTCTGTCTGTCTCTCTCTGTCTCTGTCTCTGTCTCTCTCTCTCTCTCTCTCTCTCCTTCCCTCCCTTCCCTCTCTAAAAATAAATGAATAAAATCTTAAAAAAAATAAAATAAAATAAAGGTTATATTTTAAGAAAGAGCCCTGGCTGGTGTGGCTCAATGGACTGAGTGTTGGCCTGTGAGCCCAGGGGTCACTGGTTCGATTCCCAGCCTAGGGCGCATGCCTAATTTGCAGGCCAGGTTCCTGGAAGGGGGTGTGCAAGAGGCAACCATACAGTGATGTTTCCCCCCCTTTCTTTCTCTCTTCCCCTCTCTAAAAATAAATAATGTTTTAAAAGAGAGAATCATGAAGAAAAGCAATAAAAATAATAGACATTGAACCTCGTGTCTCAGATCCAGGGGCCATAAATTGTATTCTCTTCCTCCATCCATTATAAGTAATACAATAGAAGAGTTTGGGGTGAACATTACATTGCTTTTGTGAGGAAATGGAATTTGTTTAAAGCAGTTTGTTATTCTTGATATCATACGTTCGTTCAGTTCAGTTTTAAAAGTAAAATTTCATTAAATTGAATTATAAAGAAGGATTTGATATAACATGTTTTAAAGAAGAAAAAACTATGTTGATTCTCTTATAATTTTGTATTACAAATAATCCCACGTACCAGGTGCTCTCTTTGGAGTGGCCATGTGACAGCCATTCCACGCACTGCTGGTGTTTGGTGCCTGCTGGTTATAAAGGAGAGCTGTCAGTATGCTTTCTATACTGGTAGCTTCATGGTCTTACAGCCTCCATCCCAACTTGAGATGCCTCCACTGTCTTCACCTCTCAGTCACCATCTAGGTGGCAGTAGCCAGGGAGGGTGGCTTCTGTTCTGCAGGGTGCCTGGCTAGGTCTCTCTTCTCCTTGCAGAGTTAACTATAGTGAAATTATTTTCTATTTGCAGCCTGAGAATGTTACTTCTAGTTACGATGGTGTCCTTCAGGTCTCCACCATTTTTATAGTTAATTACTTTAACTATAATCGTTAATAAGTGAATAATAGAAATTTGTGAGGAAATTCTTTAAGACTATATGTTATCTTCATCAAACTTTCAGCCACTAGTTTTACTATCCATTGACTATTTCATAACTATCATTCTTGCTCTATTTTAGTCCTCTCCATTTATTGATTCATGGTTATTTTATTCTGTGGCTTATAATCCATATCTACCATTCTGTATTTCAATGCTCAGACTACCTCAAATTTTTCATTGGGAGCCATTTCGATGCTCAGACTACCTCAGATTTTTCATTGGGAGCCATTTCGACATGTCCCCACTGTGCTTGTTCTGTGGCACTAGATGCTCCGGGTGTAGGTTATACTACTTTCCCTGTCCTAGACTGAGAGTGGCCATTTCTCCAGGGAGCCCTGGTTCCTTTTAGTTAGTTATTTTTTTGTGTTTTAGATGTTTCTCTTTATATTGTTTTGGCCCAAAGCAAAAGTTATTTTGGTTTACAAGAATTTCAGAAAGAATTATCTTGAAATTCAACCCCATTTTATCATAACTGTAATTCTGATCATTAATTCTTTGATTTCCCCCCAAAAAATGTTGCTGTTTCCCTAAACTTTACCATTTAGCAAAATTCTTTTCTGTTCATATTTCTTTTTCCATTTATCACTATATCTAGCATTTTCTATAAAATTCAGCTTTTTTTGCACTTTTGTATGATTTAGGTCATTCTTGCTTGTCTTTTCATAGAATTTCTTGAAAAGAAAAATTACTGTGAAAAATTAATAGAAAAGGAAGACAAGAAATAGGAGTTGGTAAAATACAATGGAACCAGAGAGCACACTTTTTTTTGAGAGAGAAAGATCAAGAGTTTTCAGCTTTATTTTTTTGAAAATGATTTGCAAAATGGTTAAAAATATATTGGAAGTGGAACAGTGCGTCTTCTTTTGAGTTGGTTTCCAGGTTTCCAAAATGAGTGAATAGGCCACAAAGCAATGGGTGTTACTGCTTTTTCTTGTTTCCAGCTTCAGTGCATAAGGATTCTAAGTCTTTCTCTCAAATCGTTTGGAAAAAAAAAAAAGTGCGGTGGACTTTGGAAATTTTGATTTAATAATGCTAATCAAGTTTTAAGAGAAATAAAATTAAGTAGTTTTAGTTCAGCGTCTTTTAAGAAAGCCAAATTATTATTGGTTTCTCCATCTTTCTTCAATTATTCATGAATTATAGAACCAAAGGAGAAGCTAAAACTCCTGACAGTCATGTGCCTGTCACATAGGAAGATCTTATTGTGTCACATAACATCAGATACCATTCTCTGTTTTTTCTTGCTTTCTGCTGCAGGGCTATACCAAGTCCATTGATATTTGGTCTGTAGGCTGTATTCTGGCAGAGATGCTATCCAACAGGCCCATCTTTCCGGGGAAGCATTATCTCGACCAGCTGAACCACATTCTGGGTAAGGTTCCTGGGCACAATAGGGGCTAGATTTACCCAGTTCATCTACCCACAGTTTACATCAAAGTCATTTCATTAAATTAAGAGTTCTTACAACTCTAACCTATGACAGACATGAGTTTTTAACCCTTCCTTGATTGAAAATGTTATGGACCCTTGCTCCTCTGGCCGGTGTTGCTCAGTGGGTTGGATCATCATCCCATAACCAAAGGGTTGCAGGTTCGATCCCTGGTCTGGGCACATATGGGAGGCAAACAATTGATGTTTTTCTCTTTCTTCTCACTCTAAAAAAAAAAAAAAAACAATGAAAAAAATGTCCTCAGGTAGGGATTAAAAATAATAAACGTTAAGGACCCTTGTAAAAATTTGTTAGTAAGACTTCTGGCCAAGATGGAAGTGCAGGTAGATACACTTTGCCTCTTCGCACAACCAAAAGAAGGACAACAACAAATTTAAAAACAAACAATAACCAGACCTGCCAGAAAATCAAACTGTATGGAAGTCCAACAACCAAGGAGTTAAAGAAGAAAGATTCATTCAGACTGGTAGGAGGGGCAGAGACCAGCAGCTGGGCAGAGAGGATGCATGCCAAGGTGGCAGCAAGAGGGTGGGGGGTTCGTGGGGGGCATAAGGTGGCTGCTGGTGAACCAGGTGGTCCCACATTTGCATGTGGATTAACTAAGAGGAACAACTGGGGAGCAAGACAGACTGCGTAACCCAGGATTCCAATGCGGGGGAAAGTAAGTCTCAAAATCTCTGGCTGTAAAAATCTGTGGGGGTTGTGGCAGTGGGAGAAACTCCCAGATTCACAGGAGAGTTCACTGGAGAGACCCACAAGGTCCTAGAACATACACAAACGCACCCACCCAGGAATCAGCACCAGAAGGGCCCAGTCTGCTTGTGGGGAGCAGGGGAAGTAACTAAAGGCCAGCCAAGAGCCGAGCAACGGGCATTGTTCCCTCTCTGACCCCTCTCCCACATACAGTGCCACAACACAGTGAGGTGGGTTGCCTTGCCCTGGGACATACTTAAGGCTTCGCCCCTTACAATGTAACAGGTGCAACAAGACAAAGAAATACAGCGCAAATGAAAGAACAGACCAAAACTCCAAACATAGAACTAAGCAATGGAGAGATAGCCAACCTATCACATGCAGAGTTCAAAACACTGGTAATCAGGATGCTCACAGAAAAGGTAGAGGCTATGCAAAGTGAAATAAAGAAAAATATATAGGAACCAACAGTGAAGGGAAGGAAACTGGGACTCAAGTCAATGATTTGGAGCAGAAGGAAGAAAGAAACATTCAACCAGAACAGAATGAAGAAACAAGAATTCAAGAAAATGAGGAGAGGCTGAAGAACCTCTGGGACAACTTTAAACGTTCCAGCATCTGAATCATAGGGGTGCCAGAAGAAGAAGAGGAAGAGCAACAAATGAACTTACTTGAAAAAATACTGAAGGGAACTTCCCCAGTCTGTCAAAGGTAATAGACTCCCAGGAAGTCCAGGAAGCTCAGAGAGTCCCAAAGAAGTTAGACCCAAGGAAGCACACACCAAGGCATATTATAATTATATTACTCAAGATTAAAGATAAGGAGAGAATCTTAAAAGCAGTAAGAGAAAAGGAGACAGATGCCTACAAAGGAGTTCCCATAAGACTGTCAGCTCAAAAGAAACCTCGTAGACAAGAAGGGGCTGGCAAGAAGTATTCAAAGTCATGAAAAGCAAGGCTCTACATCGAAGATTACTCTATCCGACAATACTATCATTTAGATTTGGAGGGCAGATAAAGTACTTCCAAGATAAGATCAAGTTACAGGAGTTCATCATCACCAAGCTCTTATATGAAAAGTTAAGGGACTTAAATAAGAACATAGATAAAAAATATTAAAAGTAGAATGACAACACACTCAAAACTGTCAACACCTGAACCTTAAAAGAAAAAAAAAACGCTAAGCAAACAACTAGAACAGGAACAGAATCACAGAAATGGAGATCATAAGGAGGGTTATCAGTGGGGATGGGGAGGTGGGAGAATGGGGGAAAGGGTGCAGGGAATAAGAAGTATAAATAGATACAAAATAGTCAGGGAGGTTAAGAATAGTGTAGGAAATGGAGAAGCCAAAGAACTTACATGTACAATCAGGGACACTTGGACGTCATCTAAGGTCGGAGAATGCTGGTGGGAGAGGGGTGGTGCAGGGTGGAGGGGAATAAAGAAGAAAACAAATGGGACAACTGTAATAGCATAATTGATAAAATATACTTCAAAAAATTATTAAGAAAGTAAGCATTGGGAGGTGGTGTGAGAAGACATTAATTATCAAGGTCCATTCTCCCATTCCGCTAATGGTGTGTGGTCAGTTTACTTTGGTCTTGATACTTAACAGCTAATTATTTTATCTGATAGGTATTCTTGGATCCCCATCACAGGAAGACCTGAACTGCATAATCAATTTAAAAGCTAGAAACTATTTGCTTTCTCTCCCACACAAAAATAAGGTGCCATGGAACAGGCTGTTCCCAAATGCTGACTCCAAAGGTAAATAGTATTTTGTTGATTATTTTTCTTAAGCTTAGCTTCCTGTTTGTATGTTTGTTTTACTTGTTAAATCATTAAGTCAGTAGTCTGAAAAGTTAGCCTGTAGCTATTCTATAATGACTGTTTATTGCTCTCTTTTATTTAGGAGCAGCGGCAATAGGGTAAGACTCTCAGAGTGACTGTCTAGTTTTCTGCCTTGCAGTTTCTTTGCTACTTTTTAATGTGGATTACATTCACTATTTTAGGGCTTAGAAAGTCTAGGATACTGCAAAACAAATTATTCTTTTTTTCATCTTATCGTTTTAATAATTTTTATAGTCAGGTTAATTGAAGAATAATTTATGTAGAGTAAAATTAATGCTTTTTAATTGTGCAGTTCTTTGAATTTTGACAAACATATACAGTAATGTTACCACCACCACTATCAAGATAATGAAGTAGTTCCTTGAAACCCAAACGTGGCCTTGTGCCCTTTTGTATTCAGCTCCCTCGCCTAGTCCTTGGCAGTTTCTGATCTCATTTCTGTCCCTGTAGTTTTGTCTTTTATAGAATATAACATAAATTCAATTATACAGAATGTAGCCTTTTATATCTAGATTCTTCCACTTGAGATTTATCTGTATTGTTGTTCATATCAGTGTCTTCAATAAATGGTACTGGAATAATTAGACATCTATATACAGAAAGGAGAAAAGGAATAAAAAGCTACTGAAACTATTAAGCTTTGTGAAGAAAACAGGACAATCTTCCAAGACCTTAGGTTACATGACAATTTCTTAGATAGGCTTCCAAGAGCATGATTATAAAAGAAAAAAGCAATATATTAGCCCTGGCCAGTGTGGCTCAGTTGATTGGAGTGTTGTCTGAAAACTGGAAAGCTGCGAGTTTGATTCCCAGTCAGGACACCCGCCTGGGTTGTGGGTTCAGTCCCATTTGGGGCACATGCATGGATGTTTCTCTCTCTTTCCCTCCTTTTCCCTCTCTCTTAAAAAGAAAAAGTAATACATTAGATTTTATCCTTTGATATTTTTAAGTTAACTTTAATAATTGTATTATACTTTATTCTTATTTAACGTGTATTTGTTAAATATATTAAGTAGCAGTTTTTTTAACTTCATACTATTATATAAAGCTGTAGTAGGCAGAATAATAACCCCATCCCCAAAGTTGTTGTCTGCATCCTAATTCCCAGGTTTCAAATATGTTAGACTACCTACCAAAGGAGAATTAAGGGTGCTAAATTGAGCTGATTTTAAGATAGGGAGATTATACTGGATTATCTAGGTGGGCCTAATGTCATGGCCATGGTCCTTAAAAGTGGAAAGACAGAAACAGAATAGGGAACCAGAGCAAGGGCGGGGGGGCGGGGGGGGGGGCTTGCTAGCACTTTGTGCTTGTTGTTCCATATTTTTCTTTATCTCCATACGTATGCGTCTTTTTACCTAAGTAATTATTCCTAGAGGTCATTGTTAACGGAATTGTCTTGAGTATTTTTCCATGTCGGTACATACATCTAGTTAATCTTTAATGACTTTACAACATTTTCATCCAGTCTTCTGTTGAAAGTAGCTTTTTCTGATTTTTGTTATTTTATGTACGTGTATTTTTTAAAAAATATTTTCAGTATTTAGAAATAGAACATTTTATTTTATTTTTATTTTATTTTTTTAATTAACCTAAATTTTTTTTTTAAGATTTTATTTATTTATTTTTAGAGAGGGAAGGGAGGGAGAAAGAGAGAGAGTAAGAAACATCAATGTGTGGTTGCTGGGGGCCGTGGCCTGCAACCCAGGCATGTGCCCTGACTGGGAATCGAACCTGGGACACTTTGGTTCGCAGTCCGCGCTCAATCCACTGAGCTACTCCAGCCAGGGCTGATTTTTTATTTTTTTAGAGAAGGAAAGGAAGGGAGAAAGAGAGGGAGAGAAACATTGATGTAAGAAACATCATTTGGCTGCTTTGCATACATGCACTGACTGGGGACAGAACCTTAAACCCAGGTATGTGCCCTGAATGGGAATTGAACTGATGACCTTTCAGTTTGCAGGACAACGCTGAACCAGCTGAGCCACAAGCAGCCAGGGCACATGTATATTTTTAAAAAAAAAAATTTTTTTAATGGATCTGCCTTTTTTTTTTTTTTTTTAAGATTTTATTTATCTATTCTTAGAGAGGGAAGGGAGGGAGACAGAAAGAGAGAGAGAAGCATCAATGTGTGGTTGCTGGAGGCTATGGCCTGCAACCCAGGCATGTACCCTGGCTGGGAATCGAACCTGCGACACTTTGGTTCGCAGCCTGCGCTCAATCCACTGAGCTACGCTAGCTAGGGCTATATTTTTTAAATTTTAACAACTGTGTACTTAGATGTTGAATTTGTTTCATGTGTTAAAACTGAGTTAAGGTTCAGAAACATTTGGTGTTTAAAATTGAATTTCTTTTAGATATAGAAGGAACTATCCTTTAAAATCTCTGATATAGCCCTGGCTGATGTGGCTCAGTGGATTAAGCACTGGAGTACAAACCAAACGGTCGCTGGTTCGATTCCTAGTCAGAGCAAATGCCTGGGTTGCGGGCCAGGTCTCCAGTTAGGGGCCTGCAAGAGGCAACCACACATTGATGTTTCTCTCCCTCTCTTTCTCCCTCCCTTCCCCTCTGTCTAAACATAAATAAATAAAATCTTTTAAAAAAAATAAAAGCTCTGATAGAAAGGTAGTATATTATCATGGTAGACAGTTTGAAAGTTTAAAAAGAATAGGTAAGAGGATAAAAAATACTCTTTAATTACCAGAATCCCAACATAACCTGCAACATTTTGCTGCACCAATGTGTGCACATCTTCTAACTAGTTAGAAATTGTAGGATTTTAAAAATTTAGAACTTGACATAATTCTACATATTCCTGATACATGACTTGTATACAGTATGTCCCAATTAATGACAAGGATACATTCTGAGAAATGTATCATTAGGTGATTTCTTGTCATTGTGCAAACATCATAAAGGGTATTTACATGCAAACCTAGATGGTACAGTGACAGCTAGGCTATAGGGAAGGTATGCCACCATTGCATATGTGGTTCTTTAATGACTAAAATGTCATCGTACAGCATGTGACTATTACATTGTCCCAAACATGTTAACTAAATCTTATTTCTTGAGTTGCCCTTTTAAAAAGGTGTATATGTAACAAAACTGCATAATTAAGACTTCATGATAGATAAACCTTCCAGGCTTTCCTCCTGTTGGTTTTCTTACTGTTTTCTATAGTTAGTCATGAGTTTTGTATAAGACTATTTGTAAGGCTTTTTAAAGTTTACTTTCCTTATTTAAGATTATGAACTTTGAGATTGCTCTATCCAGATAATAACTAACACCACTAAAATCCAGAAAGTTAATTTTGAAATGCAGGTTTTAGATGAATACAATGAAGCAGGGAAGGTCTGTAAATAGATTAAAGTGGAGAAATGGCGTTGATGGTGCTAGAGTGAGCGGTACAACATCATGTGTTAGGAGCACAGGCTTTGCAGCCAGACCTCCTGGGTTGATTCCATAGCTCAGCAACTTAACTATGTGAACTTTGAACAGACTAACCTCTCTGGGACTCGGTTTTTCCATTTATAAAGTAGGGTTAGTAATAGTACATGTATCACTGAGTTGTTTGATACAGAAACTATATCACAGGATTTTATCACTGGCATTTGTGGGTCTAGATCTGAGATCTCACAGGACTGAAACTTTTTCATTTATATATCCTGGACATCTTTCCACTCTGTAGTTATAAAGAATGACTATAGTGTTTCCTAGTAGGGATGACCCATGATGTTTTTTGCCAGTCTCATATTGGACATTGAAGTTCCCATCAGTTATCTATTGCTTCATAACATATCACTCCACACTCTAACTCGAGGCCTCAAGATGACCACTGCATATTTGTTCTTAAGACCATTAGGCTGGGCGCAGTTGGGTGGGTCTGCTGTGCTCACCTCAAGCTACATGGTCTAAGGCACCTCACAGTGTCTTGCAGTTGATTCACCTCTCATCCTACACTAGAGCAGCCTGGGCCTTTCATGATGGCAGAAATATTCCAAAGGAGCCAGAGCAGAAGCTACAAGATCTCTCAAGGCCAGGTCTCAGAACAGCAGACACTTCTGCCACATTGTCTTTTTTTTTTTTTTTAAGATTTTATTTATTTACATTTAGAGAGGGAAGGGAGGGAGGGGGAGAGAGAGAGAGAGAGAGAAAGAGAGAGAAAAAGAAAGAAGTATCAATGTGCGGGTGCTGGGGGCCATGGCCTGCAACCCAGGCATGTGCCCTGACTGGGAATCAAACCTGCGATGCTTTGGTTCACAGCCCACGGTCAACCCACTGAGCTACGCCAGCCAGGGCTGCCACATTGTCTTGATCAGAGCAAATCACAAGTTCACCCTAGATTCAAGAAGTGGGGAAATACATTCACCCATTGATGAGAGGAGCTATAAAGAATTTGTGGCCACGTTTAATCTGCTTCCAGGTGGTTTCTAGTTTTTTTGTTTTGTTTTTTACTATTACATACATACACTTGTTTGTTTAGTAAATAGATCTGAGTGTTTGTTCTATGCCATCAAGGGTTCTAAGCCTTGGACATAAAACAGCAGCAGTAAGACAGATTAAGAGCCTGCCTACAGGGAACTAACAGTCTGGATTTATATGAAAATGACATAAGGAAATGAATGGGAGACCTCGGATAACTCAAGAAATTAAAACTTTTCAAGCTGAAACATTAGTGCATTTGAGTTTGGTTAATGACAGTTCACAGAAAAGGAAGTGTAAATGTCTCTTAAATATACGGAATGGTACTCATTTTTATTCATTATATAAGATATGAACTTTGAAAAGTCAGTAATTCTGGTTTTTTCCCCACTCATCATAGTAGCAAGCATCAGTAAGTTTGGTAACCCACTGTGGTCGAGGTTGTGGGGAAATGGATGTTCTCAGAGACAGCTGGTGGAGTGTGAATTGGT